ATGGTCTTCCTTCCCAGTGCATGGAAACCTAATAGTATCCCAACGTCTATTTGTATGGTAAATCTTCGGAATATGTTTAAAGGGGAACCGCTCAATCCCATGGATTGCACCAAAGAATCATGGGACACTATTGTTTATGTTGTTTACAATGTTAATCTATCTTTTGTTATCCATTGTTATTTTAATCCAGAAAGTAAATTTGTTGTGAGATTAGGCTTAACTGGAAGGTGCCCCTTTAAGTTCAGTTATCACATATCTTGGTTACGTTGTGTCATCGTCAGGCAGTGATTGTCAAGATATGCAAAGACAGCTAAGATCAATATATGCAAGGGCGAATATTATTTTGCGTAATTTTGGTCTCTGTTCAGAGAATGTGAAATGCACATTTTTTAGAGCGCTTTTAAACAGTATTTATTGTCTTAATATTTGGTGTAATTATAGTGTTCGGCAGCTAAACAAAATGAAAGTTGCTTATAATAATGCCATATGATTAGTTTTTAAACTAAGATGTGCCTGAAGTGCAAGTTCTAATTGTGTCAGTAGAAATATTTTAAATTGTTCATCTCTACAGAGAAAAGCATTGTACAATTTTAATATGCGGCTTTTTAAGAAAGAATAGTATAATTTACGATTGCATTGATTCTTTTTATTAATCAATATTTTGGGCCATTACATACGCCTTTTGTATGATTAAATGTTTGTTTATTTTAGTATGTTTTCTTTTTTGTGTGTACTTTATCGGCTGTGTACCTGAAATAAATAAATAATAAATAAATAATAACCTTGTTTGATGTTCCATTACCAATGAGTGTTGAATTGCCTTACCATCGTTTACTGGGTGTATACACACACGTTTCAGCGTTTGTTACTGTAAAATACTTTATTTTAGCTGGAATTATTTTTCACTGAAAAAACTTTTTGGGTGTTTTGTATGAAACTTATTTTCACTGATTTTTGTCAAGTTGAATGTAAAATATAGAAAAAAGGTATATTAGCTGAATTTTATTTTCACTGAATCATTCCTTCAGTGAAAATAGCGAAAATTAATTCTAAGCGAAAATAAAGTATTTTACAGTAATCGCGTGTTCTAATACATTATGGAAGTATTGTCACTAACAGTTTGTAATAAAACTTTGATTTGAATGAAGCATGTTATTAACTTTTTCGAAGACTCAAAAAGCTGTTCTTCAACTGTTTGACGGGAATTGTTCTGAAGGTTGAAACTAAGACTGGCCCAATCGTGAAAATTTGATTTTCCTTTAGAACGAGTTTGTAGAATCTTTCGCGTTGACCACGATTTAGGATTTTTTTTTTTTATATAAAATTGGCAACAGTCCAGGCAGAAGTCTACTCATAATTGCAACCACGCGGAAGGTTGTTTCATGGTGCCATGGGACAATAGCTCTATGATTGTACATAATATAAACCAAAGAATTTTGACATGCGATTTATGACCAACTTTCTCAAGTTACTAGTACTTCAGAAATTACATTTACAATCACACTTAACATCAAAATAAACATCCAATACTCTAATTGATACCATGCGGTAGGTCATTATATTTGTAAACGATACAAATTGAAGCGGATATTACTCAGGCATGTTTCACAACTTGTAATTAATCACCCCTTTTAAAACAACTATATATTTGTAAACAATTTTGACAAGTCAGTTTACTTTGGTGCGTGGTTACGTTCACTTCGTTCGAATCGATTTTCAATATGGCTTCCTGCTTTGCTCTATTGTCGCTGTTTTTGGTCTGTGATGTTGTCAATGTCGTTGTCACGGCCGACGATTTTGATTTTCAATGGGAGCAGTGTGGAGGTAAGTGAAATATATCGACAACAATTGACCGAAAATGTTAATATTACAGTTACATTACAAAACGTATGTATAGAAACCATACAGTGTTACATAGTGAAATTGGATACACATTTGAAACCGGAATATCCTGAAAAAATTGCTTATTCATTCATTGTGACTGTTATTGTTTTAAGAATCCGACGAAGCGATGGGGTATCCGAACGAGCAACCTAAGTTGAATGCATCATGTTGTCAGGTTTTCAATTCAGTGTAGCCATGGTAGTAGGGTTTAACGCTGCAGGGAGATAGCAATGTCATTGTTTCTATAGAAACAAATTCCTCTAGTTATTTTCTCTATATCATTTCACGCTGCAACCATTTTCCGTTCACTGCGAGATCCCGTGTTACATTGTATACGTGGAACCGAACGTACACACAAATAAACAAAGGTCAAAGGTCGTAGTGCCGTCAAAACATCGCGTGGGATTTGACAAACGAGAAAGTATTTCCAGGCTTTAATGTGCTGTACATTTTTGATAATGGTCAATTTTGATGAAATATCAGAATCTGAACGCCATATTTCATATGAAAAGGTGAAATTCAAGTTCAAAATTAAACGATTTTGCGACAGACGTTCGGTCCGCGCTTTTCACGCATTACGCGACTAGTCAAATATTGAACATCCCTAACACCATGGAACTAGTTCCATGCTAACACCGTGCCAATTTTATTCACTTTTCTATTCCGTAATACGAGATATGTACCCTTTTGCGGCACCCTTGCAATAACCTTATTAAGGGCTCATACCACTAATTGAATTTCCATACACGACGATGTTAACATATGACGAGATTGCTATATGAAAATGATGAAGAAAGTTGAAAACATGGCTCAAAAATGGGAAATCAACATGCTAGTAATCAACCATATGAAAAAAACTAACATGTTGGCCAGCTCAAACTCTTGCAAATCTCAGGTAAACAAGACACACCTACTGTATTTGTATTGCACCAAGAGAAATCACTGGAAAAACATCCAAATACACACAGAATAAACCCACAGGTACACAGCCGCTAAGTAGTAAACAAAAGACCACATGTTGGTCTCACCTTTGACCCAGGTGATTACGCCCTCAAACAGGGGGCACCTGAGAAAAAAAAATATATAAAAAATGTCATTGGTTCTTACAAGGCATTTAAATTGAGCAGCCATTGGTTGATTAGTGGCATGAGACCATTATTATACATCTTCCCGACACAATCGCTTGGTATGTGAAGCAACGTACCATATTTGGAATGTGGATTTCCTAAATGGCAGCGCGCAAATATCCCGAAAAATATCGTACAATTACAACACACAATGACTTATGGTAATAAGGTGACACATTTATAATAATATATCATTTAATTGAACCTTTTAATCATGTAAAATAACCGAATACGAAATTCCATTTAATCTGACTTCCGATATTTAATTTTTGGTAACTGTAGTTTTTTTTTATAATTAACAGGGAATTCTATCGAATTTATAGAGCTGTCCATTACACCCATGCCAATCAGGTCAATTCAGGATATTAACATCGCATTTAATGTGGAAGCTGACCAGTTAGGTTCTGATCTGAAACTGGATATCAGTATAAAAAGAGTGGTTGACCTCGGGTGGTTCGGAAATGTTCGGGTTCCCGTGCCGTGTGTGTTCGATGTCGGATCATGGTAAGTGTCTGTATTGCTGCGTCATCTAGTGATAAATCGCTTCTATGTCATAAGTCATTGTTTCCCGGCGTCCTTTGCACAAGCCGCATGCGCAATGACGTTCCTGACATTTTGAAAAGAGGTCGTTTGCGCAATTAGGCCAAAAAAATGTTTTGTTGCTCTTTAGCGACCGACCGAAAAATATGAAATATCGGGTCTCGTTTTTTTTTTTTTTTTTTTTTTTTTTTTTTTTTAATAGGCCCAAATATTAACCACGTCTTTTGCATTTCGGGCCATTTTGCCATTTGCGATTCGACGGATAGTTGGTTCACAATATTGAAAATATTGCCGCACCAAGTATTGTCTCAATTAAATAAAAACATTATTTTGAATCAAAAACAATACGTTTGTTGTAGTAAATATATTTTTTAATTTATGAAATGCACAAAAATGTATTGAATTTACAAAACGTGACATTTTATATTAGAACTCTCGTGCGCTTACATCACAAACAAAACGACGGCTTTTGAACGTTGTTTTAGCACTGTCAGTATTCTCACTTCCGGGTTTGTCATCGTGTGTACGTACATGTGTACAGCAGTAGCGAACATGGCGAACACGTTTGCTGTGCGCATGACAGCAAAAGCTGGATCAACTATTGAATTTTAAATTAAGTTTTAAAAAAAAAAACGACCGACCGACCCATTTTTTTCAATTTTCCGACTTGAGGGCAACATAAGTTTTTTTTTTGCCGTATGGAAGCGAAACGCAGATTTGTGACAGAAGAAACCTTCACTGCGTCGTCGTTAAAATAGAATTTGAATAAATCTGAAAGGATAATAAAATATTACTTAGATTCCAGGTTGTGTACGTTAAAGCGGGGGGAGTCGTCACCTGCGCATGCGTCAGATGCCATAGCGTGTCATTGTTTACAAACAAGCGTCTACCCATAAGCATTTGCGTTTTTAGCGTGTGTTGTTATCGTCGCTTGGGACTCAATTACCGCGCGTGCGCAGGTGACGACCCTTTTCGCTTTACCTTTTCGATTTACTGTTTGTTTTCCAGTGAATACAATATGTGTGATTTGATCGAGACACGAATCGGTCATGTATGCCCGGCAGGAGATAATGGGGTATGTTCCTGCATCGACAAAACTGGTTATTTTACTGACGAGATAAAGATCAGCCTGGGTGATCCTTCTATCGTAGTCTCCGTACTCGGATCTGTAAGTAGAATGCTTAGTTGTTACTAAAACTATAACACTCCTGCCAGTCGCGCCCTCTAGCGACAGACACATCTGTGACATCAGTTTGACATTGCAGACGGACAATTCTATTTGGATGTTATGTCATTGCTCATTTAGAATATATCACGTCTCTGTAAAACGGATTTTTTTATTGACAGGCAAGCACAGATCAAAACAATATCGGCGACCTAAATGGCGTCCCTTACATACACTTAATTCACGGAAGTATTTCATTGATAGAGGGCGCAACAATCGTGACAATGTGCGATACGAAAATAACGTTTTAGTTTCAGTTCCGAGATGTATTTGTGTGATATTTCCATACGGATCATTGTTCGCATCATAAATCTGAATTAAGAGAGACATTTGTTTTTGCCAATTGTATATTTAAAGCGGGGTAGTCGTCACCTGTCAGATGGCCATAGCGTGTCATTGTTAACAAACAAGCGTCTATCCATGAGCCTTTGCGTTTTTAGTGTGTGTTGTTATTGTCGCTTGGGACTCAATTACCGCGCGTGCGCAGGTGACAACTCTCCCGCTTTAACCTCTTCCCTTTATGGTCAGTCACTCCTCACAAGCAACGTGTGTAATGACGTAGATTTCTTTGTTTTCAGGGCAACTACGAGGCCAAGTTCACGTTGACACAGGGAAACGGGGCTGTCGAAGCATGTGTGAAGACAAAGTTTAGCCTCGATTTATAGCTTACCTACTACAGTATATCTAATACAGCGTGTACTGCGTAACTACACTAAATAAAAGAGTTTGGAAAAACATGTACCCGTCCGTGTATTGCCAAATCATAGTGAAATGAAAGGTGTACTGCCCTCAAGGTAACCTTCACGCCACGCATGCGCGAGATCCCATCTGAACCAAGGTGGCGACTGTGGGAGTTTCGCAAATCAACAAGCATAAAAAGAAGACGTTACAAATGTTTAACAAAGTAATGCCCTTGGTGACTCGAACGCATAGCAGAATACACAAAAGTCGGTATTTAGTCCACATCGCACGCAGTTCAAAACTCGTATTCGTATTTACCATTAAAGGGCGGCAGTCGTCGTGCAGCGTCCTGTTCGATATGGGACTCACAGCGACGTATACAACGCGTGTAAAATACATTGTTTATTTACATGAAATTCGAACACGCCCTGCGTGACGGCCACCGCGCTTTAAGATCGCGCTGATGCCTGTTATGAGACTCATAGCAGCGTACACGATGCGTGTAAAATACTACCATCCTTTAACCAATGAGCATGATCACCATACTAAGTTTGAACAAAATTTCCTCTCGGAAACTGCTTCAATTTAATGCTTAAAATCTAAACGAATTGAATCACAAAATAAACAAGTCATTGAAAATGACACAGTTCCCGTTCAAACTGTTAAAATTGATCTTCATGTTCTAAACTTGGTCTTGACAATTTTCAAGTATTTACAAAGTGCTAAAAAACCCTTCAAATACAGGTTATGCCTGTATAAATACTTGAAACTGACTACTGGGTGCAATGACATGAAAAAACACCAAATTTGGTTCACAGTGAACAAGTTTGAAGGCAAATTACAGGGAGGTAGTCGTCGTGTTGTGCATGTGCGACATTAGTGTTGATAAACAGATTTTTCCAAAATCCAATGCGCAAGTATGAACTTTGACCTGGTCACCAGACTTGTACTAATTATTGCCTGTGACTTCTTTGATACCTTAAATCCAACCACCTAAAAAATACCCAAATAAAGCTTGGTAACGTCTCAGTTTGTACTCTTTGATCTGCACATCAGTCAAA